TGCATTGTATTATAAGCGGTGATTATTTGCCAATATTTTTCTTTTTACTTCTTTTGGCAGTTATTTTAGACTTCACTGTCGATTGAGTTCTCGTGAAAATGTATTGATATATGTTTAGGGAAACCGAGTGTTAAGACTATCGGAAGTGAAGTACAAAAATAGCATTCATTCACTCTGTTTAGGGAATCACGTCCTCTCTTAAGTCTCTCTCTCTCTCTCTCTCTCTCTCTCTCTCTCTCTCCTTGGAGTCCATCACATCTGAACCCTCGCCCACAAACGCCAGACTCTTCTGATTATAGCGAACGAAAGTGTAAATAAAAGTCACTTTTACATAGTGTTCAGTAATACATGGATTCTTGTGGTGTGTTTCTGAGCACTTATTATCGTGTCTTCAAAATATCAAACTAATCAGCATTAAGTCGATTGAGTTTATTGTTATTATTATTATTAATATTCATTATATCACTATTGGATGAATGAGTGCTGTTTTTGAGAGATTAATGCATTCTCTGTGCACTAAAAGCGTTGTTGGCTTTGGATTATAAATTCTGCGCTAATTATAGTAATAAATATTCAAAAAGCCTTTATTTTTTGGTTCGCTATTCATTGCCTAAAAATCGATTTTTGGCTCAAAAGTTATTAGTTGTGTACAAATCCATCATTTATTTTAACTCAAATACTAATTATATATCAAATATTATATAATAGACTCTCATTAAAGTGAAGAGCATTAGTAATAACAGTAACAGTCGATTACAAACCAGAGAAATAAAAACACCGAATGATTATAGTATTGGAGTATTGGGTGATTGTAATCAACTGTTATCTAAGCGTTCACTTCTAACGAGAGTTTAGAGAGAAAATTGTTATTTTTATTTCAATACATTTTACACGATATAAACTAATGGTTGTTGTAATTCAATGGGAGTTTTAAACGATATTGTTTTTTCTATGCCTCCACTACACAGGAGAACAGGTCCGCGTCCTGTCGTACAACCGGTCGGGCGAGTGGTGCGAAGCGCAGTCACGTAGCGGCCAAGTGGGTTGGGTGCCATCCAACTACATCACGCCGGTGAACAGTCTGGAGAAGCACAGCTGGTACCATGGGCCAATATCCAGGAATTCGGCCGAATACCTGCTCAGCTCCGGCATCAACGGCTCGTTTCTGGTGCGCGAGAGTGAGTCGAGTCCCGGCCAGCGGTCCATATCGTTGCGATACGAGGGACGCGTCTATCACTACCGCATCAGCGAAGACACCGACGCCAAAGTGTACGTGACATCCGAGTGCCGGTTCAACACATTGGCCGAACTCGTGCACCACCACAGTATGCACGCCGACGGACTCATTACGATGCTCTTATACCCGGCGCCCAAACGCAATAAGCCCACAGTCTTCGCGCTGAGTCCCGAACCCGACGAGTGGGAGATCGACCGGACGGACATTGTTATGAAGCACAAGTTGGGCGGCGGTCAGTACGGCGACGTCTACGAAGCCATTTGGAAGCGTTACGGCATGACTGTGGCCGTCAAGACCCTCAAAGAGGACACAATGGCGCTCAAAGACTTTCTCGAAGAGGCGTCGATCATGAAAGAGATGAAACACCCGAATCTGGTCCAGTTGTTGGGCGTCTGCACTCGAGAGCCGCCCTTCTATATCATCACTGAGTTTATGAGTAACGGAAATCTGTTGGACTTCTTGCGGAACGCGAACCGCGAGGAGATCTCGGCGGTGGTGTTGATGTATATGGCGACTCAGATCGCGTCGGCCATGGCTTACTTGGAGACCCGTAACTTCATTCACCGCGATTTGGCCGCTCGTAACTGTTTGGTCGCTGACAACCATTTGGTGAAAGTGGCCGACTTTGGGTTGGCTCGACTCATGGGCGACGACACCTATACAGCGCACGCCGGCGCTAAGTTTCCCATCAAATGGACGGCACCCGAAGGCCTGGCGTACAACAAATTTGGTACAAAATCCGATGTCTGGGCGTTTGGTATACTGTTGTGGGAGATCGCGACCTACGGTATGTCTCCCTATCCGGGCGTCGAATTGACAGATGTCTATCATATGCTTGAGTCCGGGTATCGGATGGAGTGCCCGCCCGGGTGTCCGCCGCGTATTTTTGACCTCATGCGTCACTGTTGGCTATGGGAACCGATTGAAAGGCCATCTTTTTATGACATTCACAACACATTGGAGACAATGTTTACAAACTCTAGTATTACTGAAGAGGTGGAGAAACAGTTGGAACGACAGACGCCGGTCAACGTTCCCTACAAGAAACTGTCGGGCAGTTCGCCAAACATTCACCAAATGGCCAACAGTTCGTCGTCGACGGGAGCGCCGACGGCCACCACTCCCACCTCTACCGGTGCTGATCAACAGATTTGGGCCGTAAATCCTTCGTCAAAAGCCGGCATTATTAGCACAAAGTCTACTGTCGTTCAGCTGAGAAGGGGTGGCCTTAAGTCAAAACAGGCGCCGATCCCTCCGAAGCGGACGAGCAGTTTCCGCGACTCGACATATCAGGACAAACCTCTCGGCGACGACGAGATACTGGAGGGCGCGAGAGAGACAATGAATGGGATCGAAAAGGTGTTCGAGTCGCTGAGCAAAGAGCTTCAGTACGACGAGCAACAGATCGCCATCGAGTCCGAGAACTGTTTCCAAACGCTCGAAGAATTGCATTCGAGGAATAGGGCGTCAGGAAAGGGCAAGAAGAGTAAGAGCGGCTCGAAGTCACGGCGTGACGACCCCGACGGCAGTCATCGCAAAGTACAGGTGGCGTCACTCGACGTGCATAACGTGAAGCGAGCCATCAATAGGTACGGAACAATGCCAAAGGGCGCCCGAATTGGCGCTTATCTGGAATCGCTTCGACAGTCACAACCAGACCAACAGCCGCTCGATTCGGTCAACGAGAATGTGTTCGACAGCGACCTCATGTCGCCCATCGACTACTCGATCGGCGCTGAGCCGAGTCTAGCGGTCGCCACAATCGGTCGACACGTATCCAAAAACCGAAGCAAATCGAAAGACAATCGCTATGCGGACGACAGTAACGGTCGCTATTCATTCCGCGGTTACCTTCAGCGCCAGAAGTCGGATCTGACTCATTCCAGAGGAGGCGCCGCCGCCGACACCTACGACACGGATCTCATGAACGAGCGAATTGTGTTGAGTAACAACTCTAACAATTTGAATAAAAGCAAACATTTGAGCTCAAAGCCAGTCGCCTCTCCCCGACTGCCCCGCAATACTCAACGAACCGGTTCTCAGCGCAAGTCCTCGTCGGCCGCTAAGTCATCGCAACCGTCGACGAGCGGCGCTAATCGGCCCACAGGTCTCGACAATGAACTCAACGGCAATAATAAACTACTTGTGAATTCAAACGCTCGTCGCAACAGTGATAACGCGATCCCATACGAGACCAGCGCAGACCTGCCGTCACCGCCGGCGCCCTTCGGCCACAACGCCATCCGACGTACGCTGAAGAAGCAGCTCAGGCCTAAAGACCGACCGCCCAGTCCTCCGCCCGTCGGTATGACTCGAAGCGGTTCCTTCGACTACTGCGACCACAATATGAACCAACACAACAACAACAGCACCAGTACTCCCAGTCCTGAACACATTCCTCACTCCATATCCTCTCAGCCATCCGTTTCCCAGTCCTCCGAATCCAGTCCTCAACACTCGTCGACCAAAGTGGAGACCAGTAGTCGTGAGCAGACAATCGGCGACGACTTCCCACCGCCCGACCCATACATACCACAAGAGGAACAACAGAACGGAGTTGATGTGATCGTCGCTGAAGACACGAAATCAAAATCGAAATCAAGTGACTTATTATCCAATAATAAATTGAGACCCAATATAGACTCCCATAAGAGTCCAGCGGCACAACTGGTCTCCGAATTATTCGAGAGCTTTAAGATGAAGGCGCAGAAGAGACGCGTCGATATGGAGGCCGAGTGCGAGTCAAAGGCATCGGTCGTCACGTCTGAGCCGTCAAACAGAGAGCCCAAAGATTCAGTCAATGTTAATAAGTTTGTCGTCAACCAAAAGCAGACATCGAAGGCATCATTCTTGAGACGATTCCAGTCAAAGCCGGGTCCCGACTATCCGGCGCCCGCGCCTCCCATTCAGACACAGGTGTCTCGCAATTCAATTGCCGCCGAATACGTGACGCCTGTATTGAAGCGGACGCCACAGAAACCGATTGAAACCATGTCTCAGAACGACGATAAAGACAAAGAGAAATACAGTAATAATAGTAATAGTAATCACAAAAGTATTATTAATAACAAGAATGAGATTAATTCGCAAACCAATCGAAATCCGATGCATAACAACAACGGCACCGATAGTCAGCCCAAGCCATCGATCGCGACCACGAGTCCGAAAGGCGGCCCAAAAGACGTGTCTTCGGCGCCATTGCAGGAGCGGTGCAGCGGTTATGACGCCGACGACGAGAGCAAACGACACTCGTCTTCAAGCATAACGAGTCTCAAGAAGTTATGGGAATCGCAATCCAATAACAGTAATAATTTGAATCACACGAACGCCACCAACAATGAGAACAATTGCGAGCCTAATATCACCGCCAAAAGTGCCGACAACACCGCTGCCGGCCCTCCGATGAACAAGTCTTCACAAAACAGTCCCAAAATCAATGCGAAGCGTACGGGCGATGTGTTGAAGAGCTTACGGCGCTCTGACAACAGCGCGTCCGCCGATAATATCATATTTAAGATCAATGAGGAGAAGGAGGACCAGTCGGCCGTTCACTCATTCTTAAAGCCGTCGTAAGTGTTGTTTAACTGATTTTATTTTTCATGTTTTATTTGTTAATAATTTGACTAATGATTGCTTTGTTTGATTGCAAAGACTGCCAAATAAGCCCCAAATAAAGTCTTCTGGTGGACGAGTGCTCTCTTCAGGAACTCAGAAGTTAGTCAAAGCAAAGTCTGAGTCCGTGGACAGCACTCACAGTGAGAGCAGTGGCTCTAAATTAGGTCTTAAATCAATTGACAAGAATGTGATCACAACGAAGACTGTGAACGCGTGCGACCGGTCGTCCATATTAGAGATTTCGGGTGCGATCGACACCAGTATATCGTCGCTGAAGACGGCATCGGGAGCGCCGGCGCCCACAGCGCAGACCTCGCAGTCTATAATGCAATTGACGGATAAGATTCAGCTCTTTAGACAGTCGTGCAAACAGTTTTCAGAGGACTGTCCGCCGCAGCAAAGGTTCCGTTTTAGAGAACTGTTGACCAAATTTGACGTAAATTGCGACCAATTGAAGACATCCAACACATTGACCACAAATCGATTGCTAACTGACATACAGAACACACTCAGAGATATTGTGAATTTGGTTCAGAGATGAGTTCAGAGAAGATTATATCCGTTTGTTTTTGACTTTATTTATATTTCAAACAAACAAATGATTAGTTTTATGGATAACTGACAAAAGTGTGCGTCTCTTGCGATACGACTCCCGAAGTGTATCGGGAAATGAGTGCCAAACCAATTGAGTGGCAATGAAAACTCCTTTTATATTAATTGTATTAATGATATGTGAATGACATTTGGATTTCTTTGACATTATTTCTCGCATTTTATTTGCAGAGATATTTGAGACTAAATTCACAACAATATCCACATTTGAGGCAAATATTAAAACCCATTTTCTACTGATTGTATAAAACAAACAAAAAGCACTCAAAATGAAAACTTTTTGAACACTTTTTTTTCTACTTCTTGACTGATTCTAAGTAATACTGATTGTATTTAAAACTGGTTTAACACTCATTTTAATACTTGGTTTTATTTCTTCCAATATTTGTTTTAATGTTTAAAAAAGTATAAAAGTCTAGTCGACGGCTGCAGTGAAAACAAAATGTCTTGTTTTTAATTTTATTATGAAATTTATTATTATATTTTGGATTTAATTAATTGCTGTTTTGCTCTGGAAATGACAGACGGAAGCGCTTGAATCCATTCAATTGTGATTTTATATATTTTTAATTTGTATTTTACTCTCCGTTTCTAAAGTGTATTTTTCTTCTTCCAAAACCTTTTTTTAAACCAAAAGTTTTATCTCTTTTTATGATAATTTATTTTGAAATTAATTTTTAAATTTTCCGATTATTTAATTTATAATTAGTTTTTTAGTTACCAATTAATTAATAAGATTAACACAAAAATAAGTGTCAAATAAGTTAAATGAGAGACCGATTCCTGATTTACGGATCACTGAAATTAAGAGCCATTTTTTGGACATTGAAAGCAATCTTTGATTAATAATTTAATTACCGATTAATGGAAATGTTTGGAAAATACTTCTCTTCTTTTATAAAAACGAAATTACATCACAAAATGTTTTATCTGTTTATTATTATTACGATTACATGACTAGTCATGAAATTATAAATAAATTTCATTGATTTTTATAATTATTATTATAATTTAGGTATTCATTGATTTTTGAATGTAAACTCTTTTCTATCTATTGATGGAAACGATTTTTTGTGTAAAACCTTTTTATTAATATAAATATATTGTATAATATTATTGACTATTGAATTGAATTAAGTGAACGATTAAATAGATTAATTAATTGTATTATTTATGATGAAAAATAATTGACAACAAAATGTCATTCAAATAAAAAAAATTGCAAATGATTTTTAAATATGCGTTAAAATTATTTATAAAACTTTTCAAAACAAATTGTTGAACTAAAATGAAACCAATTATTGTGTTTAACATAAGAATAAAATTTTTGAAAAGTTTGTTTTAGACTCAAAATACAGAATCGGAAAAAAGTGCACACATTTGGCAGTTATCTGAAGACAAGAGACCTAAAAGATGGAGGATTTTGAGGAATTGGAAGAAATGTACAAAAAAGTCATTAAAAGCCCGCAATTCGTGGCGTCGGACTCACACGAAGAGAAGATTGCGTTCATTTTGACCCAAATATGTCCGGTGAAGACATTTCGGGCCAATCTATTCGAGAAGTGCGACAATTATCGTCGCGAACACAACAAAGACCTGCAAAAGAGCCGCGATTTCATGGCTCAGGGAAGGGAGTTCTTTGGCGATCAAAATTATCACTCGGCCTTTGAATCCTTCACTTATGTATGAATTTATGAACCTTTTAATTGAATCCATAACTAATTATTCTCTATTTCTAGGCGATAGTGTCGGCTCCCGATCCGTCAAATGCCGAATCTTTGTCTCGCGAGCTATCGCTGGCTTACGCGTCGAGATCTGCGGTCAGCTTTCAGTGCGAAGACTATTCTCTGGCACTCTTCGACGCAAACAAATCCATCGATTTGTGCGAAACGTTTGAAATGCTTTTGCATAGAGTCTACTGTTTGAGACATTTGGACCGATTCCAGGAGTCTGTCGACGCTATGGACCAAATACTGGCCAAAATTGAAGCCAAAACATTGGCAATCGATCGCAAATCCGTTCAAAGACTCGATGCAATCAAACAGACTTTGATTCGCAAACTCGAGAA